AAAATAGGGAGAAAATTAGAACTCTTCATCCTATTTTGATGGCGAGGGGGAGATGTTTCTTCCGATTTTTTCAATTTGATATTTAATTTAATTTAATTATTTAATTTTAATTTAATCCTTTCCATGCTTCCTCTTTCAACTGTGTTATAATACAATTCCATATCTGAAGGAAAATGTTAATGTGAGGAAATTGCCTTTCGGAGAACATGCTTCTGATCTTAAATCAGAAACATTTTGAATAATTAGAGTTCATTCCCATTTGTAATGTCAAGAGTGGTGTCAGCACAGTAGTGTGAGAATAAATGGATCAGTTTCATAGAACTGGAAAGGACAACCAGAATCGCCCGGTTCAATCCTCTGCAATGTGTGGCCAATCAGTTAAACTATCCATGGGAAATGGCTGTACAGCTTCCTAAAAACTCCAAAAATGGAGACCCTACAACCTTCATAAGATCACATATCTTACTAAGCCATAATGTAGTTTATGTGCTTGTTTGTGGTTTTGTATTGATATGAACTCAGCCCTGGGGTTTGCAATTTGTTTATGGTATAATGTGTTGTGTATATTCAGCTAACTGACTTATTCAACAAACAATGAGTTACTGTGATTTGTGAACTCAATGGAGTGGGAGCAACATCCATATGCGATCTAGATCACAGGTGTCAAACTTGTGGCGTCACATTGCCGTCGCGTGATGTTTCACATTTTCCCCATTCGCAGAACTGGGGTGGCCGTGGCCTGCGTGTGATGCATCTGGCCCGCAAGCTACCAATTTGACACCCCTGATCCAGATTTAACACAAAACATGGATATTAAACATAACTACTTTGTGGATTCTGCTCCCATTGGAGTTTACAAGCTCTAAACACCAAGTATTTGGAGCAATATAAATAGTATCTACAGAATTTCCAGATTACATGTTTTAAAATTGTATTTACACAGAGACAGCTAATGTTTTGTAAGAGCATCACATCCAGGCATTAATGAATGCTTGTTAATTCTGGGTGAAGAACTGGTCCATCTGCCTAGGCATGTTAGATGAACCAATGAGGTAGGAGTGCCCCAATTTAAAAATCATACTCTTGGCATCATTTGGTTTTCCTGCTGGGAAATCCCAGGAAGCCGCCTCTCAAAAGTGACTTCAGTTAACCCCGACGTCAGAAAACCTCAGACAACCAGAGCATCAGTAACTAGCTTTCTCTTGACTTCCTAATGTTTACTTCTAGAGATACAGCTACCTAAGTCAGTGGGTTTTAGACTTTTCCTACCATTGCTATTTGATGATTGAATGACAAATTTGCATGGAAAAATACTGTGTTTTCATGAAAATTATGGTGCTTGAGTTTAAAAACCAAATGTGTTGTTTCAGAGTTGGTACTGAAGAGCACATATACTAAACATAGTTAAACGTCTATGGGGACTCTCAGTCATCCAGGACATGGTTGTCCCAAAGGTGCTTTTTCAAGAGGCAACTGGGCTTTGTTTTTTCTTTGAAGACGTTTCGCTTCTCATCCAAGAAGCTGAAGCTGAAGAAGCTTCTTGGATGAGAAGCAAAACATCTTCGAAGAAAAAAACCAGAAAGTCCAGTTGCTTCTTGAAAAAACATCTTTGGGAGTAAACATAGTTAATGTAGTTTCCCATCCAGGGGGAAAAAAAACCTGATTACTAAGAAAAAAAGCAGATTGTGATCTGTTTCAAGACTTCAACAAGGGGCAACATATTTTAATCATCCTGTTTAGTTTCATTCATGTCAGGCTCCCGAGATAGGATGACTAGAAAAATGTGATGTTCAACTTGGTCCCAGATTTCTAACTTTATAAATGCTTCCTCTCTTGGATATCTGCATGTTGTAGGATAGGATAGATCCACTGCTAGTATTCCAGCTTGCTCCATATCCCCTCTTGGTCTAGCAGGCCACTCTTTTCAACCTGCTGTCCTCATTTGTAGTGTCTACACCAGTGTTTCTCAACTTTGGCAACATTAAGGTATATGGATTTCAACTCCTAGAATTTAGGACTGGCTGGGAAATTCTGGAAGTTGAAGTCTATAGCTTAAAGTTGCCTCGGTTGAGCAATATTGTTCTATACCTATAAATAAGCCATACTATGTCCAGAATGATGGCAATCAAGTTGCTATTTCACAATTGCATATCCCCATTGGAAACAGCAATACTTTGCTTTCTTCATTGGAAGTACAACAGAATAAGAGAGTTGGAAGGGATCTTGGAGGTCTTCTAGTCCAATCCCCTGCTCAGGCAGGAAACCCTATATCATTTCAGGCAAATGGTTGTCCAATCTCTTCTGAAAAACCTCAGTGTTGGAGCATTCACAACTTTTGGAGGCAAGTTGTTCCACAGATTAATTGTTCTAACCGTCAGGAAATTTGTGAAAGGGTGAAAGATGTGAGCCAGGCCACGAGTTGGGCTGTGCATGTGACAGTGCAGACTTCAACTATGACAGCAGTGGTTAGTTGCTTTTGTTCCTGTTGCTGATGCGGGTTTGCAATATGTTGCACTTAACAAGTTTTTTTGTTCTTTGTTCCATTAAACTCTAAGTCTTCCATATAACTGAAGCCCATTTTTCCGTTCTCTTACAATATATGTGATACCGTCACAGTGACTACTAGCCTTCCAAGCAATCTCATTGATTGCAGTCTTAGAGTGGGGAAAAAATTGCATTACAAAGTATTAACACTCACACAATTTATCAAACAAACCCATGATGTATTTAAAAAAGATAACGATGTATTTAAAAATCGTGCAATCACCTAAATCAGTTCCAAAAGCAGCATTTTGCAACCACTAATTAATATGGTGACTCTCCTTTCGGAATCCAGAAAGAGCTCAAAAGAAAAGCAAACCCAAAGCAAAGCCATTGGTCTCCAATTGTGTTAAGGCAAAGCAACCTGAGCTTTTGCTACATATGAGTCTGGAGAAATCTTCCAACAGGATTGGGCTTCTGCAAAGATTTTGAGTTAGTAAGCTTTGTCTCACTTACAGGGTGTACAGCAGTGTTGAAATCTAATTTTTTTACTACCAGTTCTGTGGATGTGGCTTGGTGGGTGTGGCATGGCTTGGTGGGCGTGGCAGGGGAAGGATACTGCAAAATCTCCATTCCCACCCCACTCCTGGGGGAAGGATATTGCAAAATCTCCATTCCCACCCCAGTCTGGGGCCAGCCAGAGGTATTTACCGGTTCTCCAAACTGCTCAAAATTTCCGCTACCAGTTCTCCAGAACCTGTCAGAACCTGCTGGATTTCATCCCTGGTATTTTATTTATTTATTTATTTATTTATTTATTTATTTATTTATTTATTTATTTATTTATTTATTATATTTCTATACCGCCTTTCTCCCGTAGGACTCAAGGCGGTGTACAGTCAAGAAAAATATAGACACACAAACATCATAAAATTGCTAATTAAAATTGTTACTTAGTTTGGTCAATTAAATAAAACCCAGAATTAGATAACATTTAAAAAATCATTCGCATGTTTGTATGTTTAGCCCTGCCTGTTGGAACATCAGGGTCTTGAGGGCCCGGCGGAAAGCACGGAGATCAGGGATATTCCGTATCTCCGGGGGCAGTTCATTCCAAAGGGTTGGAGCCCCCACAGAGAAGGCCCTCCCCCTGGGAGTCGCCAGTCAGCATAATTTGACTGACGGTACCCTGAGTAGTCCCTCCCTGTGAGAACGAACTGGTCGGTGGGAGGCTATTGGTGGCAAAAGACGGTCTCGTAGGTATACAGGTAATCCTCAACACGACGACAGTTGGGACCAAAATTTCCAATGCTAAGCAAACTCATTTGAGTTACGCCTGATTTTGTGACATTTTTTGCCACAATTACTGCAGTTGTTAAGTGAATTGTATGGTTGAGCTAATCTGGCTTCTCCCATTGACTTCGTTTGTCAAAAGCAATCTGGGAAAGTCACAAATGGCGATCACATAACCTAGGGATGCTGCAGTCGTAAATACATACTGGATGCCAAATGCCCGAATTTTGATCATGTGACTGTGAGGATGCTGCAATTATCATAAGGGCAAAGAGCAATCATAAATCACTTTTTTCATTGCCATTGTAATTTTGAATGGTAACTAAGTAAATGGTTGTAAATTGAGGATTACCTATGTTATTGTTAGGGCTTATGCAAAATAGTACTTCAACTTCCGTTGTCATTAATTATTTTATTTTTATTTATTTATTTTATTTTTGATTTATATGCCGCCCTTCTCCGGAGACTCAGGGCGGCTTACAATGCGCTAAGCAATTATCTGAATGTAGGGACAAGTGTATGTTAAGGAAAGACTTGTCCCACCATGGGAAATAGGATTTCAGCTCCCAACTAGCTCTCTTCTTTGAGACACAGTTTGGTGTAATACTGATGGTAGTATAGTTGTACAGTGTAATGCAGGGGTGTCAAACTCGCATCATCACAGCGTTATCACATGATTTGTTGTGACTTTTCCACCCGTCTCTAAACTGGGCATGACCAATGTGTGACGCATCCTGGCCGCAAGTTTGACATCCCTGGTGTAGTGGTTAAGGTGCTGGCCTAGAAACCAGGAGCTGTGAGTTCTCGTCCTGCCTTAGGCATGAAAGCTGCTGGCTGAGTGATTTGGAGGCAATCTCTCTCAGTCCAATCCACCTCACAGGGTTATTGTAGAAGGAAAATGCTATGTTTGCTGCCATGAATTACTTATAAAAGTAATAAAGTGGAGATAACAAAAAAAAAAAAAGTAACAGTTTTACAATTATAGCAATGGGTCAACAATGATACTAATAAAAGAATACTTGTAAATAGATATGTCAGAAAAAGTGACTTTTTTAAATGAGTGGTTTGGATTTTTTTGGCAATGTGATAAAAGACATGAAAAGTTGAGAATTACCATCCTAAATTAATAATTGTGATGGGAAGAGAGCAAATGTTGTATTTAGGACATTAACCAGTTGATGCCTGCATCTATCACAACAAACTCAAGACAATTCTATGCAGCAGTGTTCCTCCAAAAACAGAATTTTATCTTCTCCTCAGATAGATTTTGAAGTCTGAAAAATACCTTACAAAAGGAATTAAATCACAGAATGCATAGGCTTTGGCATTAAGTTTTGGGAAACCATACATTAGAAACTTTAAGGCATCCTTTTTACTTTTTCAAAATCACAAAAATGCTCAGGGCAAACAAAAGGACTCCAAAAAGTCATTCTCTCTCTGCCCAACCCACTTCAAAGGGTTGTTATTGTTGTAGGGAAAAAAGAAGGACGAAGGAGTATTGCACATGTTCACTGCCATGAGTTACTTATAAAGTAATAAAGGTGGGATAACATTCTAAAAAAAATAATAATAATCTTGTGTGAGACTAATCCAGGAAGGTGCTTTATAAAATCAAACAGAGTTTTGATGAATATTTGTGGCCCTGATAGGTACACAGATTTTTCTTTGTCCTTTCTTTCTTGAGTTCAGGTTGGCTGACAAGAGGGACAATTTCCATGGCCTGTTTTTTCTGCACTCGGTGAAGAACAATTCTGTAAGTCCCAGTTACTGAAGTGTAGTAATCTCTCCCATGGTTATTCTGGATGTGCTCTTCTGTGATTCCCAAATGGTTCAAAATGATTTTTACCTCAGCCTCTTCCTTCTGGAGAGTTTTGTCCTCGGACAAAAATTTGGGATCCAGCTTAAAGGGCTCCAAGGGTTTGGGATACTGTACACCATTCATCCATTCACTGTTCATAATGTTATCAATGGAGCAGCGTTCTGATGGAACTGGTTGTAGGATCGCCCAAATCAGTCTCTGGCAAGATTCAGACAGGAATGGTGGCACGCTATATATCCCACCAAGAATGTACTTTTTTAGCTTGGCCACCGTGTCTGCCTGGAAAGGCATGAGCCCCGTGGTCATGAAATACAAAAGGATTCCTAGGGCCCAGATATCCACGTAAACCCCAATGTAATTTTCATCTCTGAAAAGTTCCGGAGCAGCATAAGGAGGAGAACCACAGTAGGTGTTCAAGGACTCCTCTTTTTGACTTACTGTGCTGAATCCAAAATCTCCCACCTTCACACACGTGTTACTGGCGTAAAAGATGTTTTCGGCTTTCAGGTCCCGGTGAATTATGTTGTTCTCATGCTGCAGAGTAGAATTTAAAAGTATACATATAAGCAAAAAGCCAAGGCAGACAGTCTAATATAGGAAACTCATTTGTTTTTTAGGGTTTAAACTCTTTTATCTGTGCTAAAAATGCAAATTTAGATATTTTAATAGAAGCATTAAGGCAGAGTGGTGAGAAGTATGTTAAGAATTCTGTGCAAAATTATCAGCAGGGCTGTTTGCAAGCTTCCTTAACGGATATTGCAATCTCTTCCTTGCATTTTCTCCTGGACTGAGTTTTTCAAGATCGAATAACCATTTGTCTGGAATGATCTGAGAATTTCGGCTCTGAGTGGGGCTTGGAATAGAAGACCTCCAAAGTCCTTTCCAACTGTACAAGTCTATGATACTATAAGCAATATAGGAAAACGGAAGACAGGCTGCGAAACACTGAAGAATGCAATCAGTTCTGGCCATATACTCTGGGTGCAGGCAGATTGAGATGGTTTAGGAATATATGAAGAGGCTAAGGAAATTAGAAATTAGAATTAGGGAGCACTGAGCACGCTGAGTAATGCAGGATTGCATTCTGAAACATGATGGGATAAATAAATATAAAATAAATTGCAGTGCCCTGTGTACTTCATTCTCATGCACAACTTTGACCTGCAGAGATTTACTAAAGGTTCTCTTCCCAAAGAGTAGACTGAAAGGCAGAGAACTACAATACCTGGCCTTCAATCGCAATTACAATTTGTCTAACAGTTAATATAGTTCTCAACATGAAAGAATTGTTGATCAACACATCACAGCAATAGGGAAAGCTTGTCTTGCATTCTCTGCTTTCAATGAAAAACACAGCCCGAGAACTGTGAAGGCATTGGAAACACCAAAATGTCCCCAGAAGTCCTCCAGAACTACTGAGCTACCACACTCATCAACACCAGACAGAAAGGACTCACCATGTGTTTAATGGCAGACACAATCTGAGCAAAAACGTGCTTGCTCTTTTCTTCCGATAACTTCCCATCTATTATGATTTTAGCAAACAGCTCTCCTCCGTTAGCGTACTCCATGACCAGGTACAGTTTGGAGAAGGTCTCCATGACCTCATAAAGCCTGATAATGTTTGGATGGTGCAGCTTCTCCATGCTAGAAATTTCAGATGAGAGGAGACTCTGGGTTTTGTAGTCTAATTTACTTTTCTCCAGGATCTTGATGGCTACTTTTTCTGGAAAATACCATTTTGATGTTCACATTGTTAGGAAACATGACTAATCTCTCGCTTAGCAAAGAAAAGAAAAATAGTACAAAACATTATTCAAGAATAACAAATTGAGAAGAATTCTGTCAGCTGAGATCATAAATTATTCGTTCAAAGTTCTTTACCACAATCCAACTTAAATCAACTTTACATGAACCTGAACACATATTACTTAACACAATTATCAGCTTCTAAGGGAGGTCTTGAGACACCATGTGAGGTAGGTCTTGCCACTTAGAAAGGAAAAAATTAGAAAAGATTGAATTGAGGTAACGCAAGCAGATCTTGATCAATTTGTGCATAATCCTCAGACTGCTGATGTTTAGCAACTAAGCTTGACATGTGATTGGTATGTGATTGGATATATACTGTACTTAGCTATCTTGGGCTTATGATTATCATATCCAAAGATTAGTAGTGGAGATTACAAAGACTTTTGTACCTAATTTAGTCCTCCAGCATGAACATCCAAGCCTGCTTGTGTAACAGGAAAATCCATCGCTGGGTGTATTTCTAGCAGGATTACCAGATTCTGTAACAGCTTTGTTCCCTATGCCATCCATCTGGTAAACTCGCAAGATTTGTTTTTCTCGCCATGTACATGTATACATCCGAACGAAACTGTGTTGTTTCTCTTAATATATGTGGGTATATGCATAATTTTGTATTCATTTATTTTGTCATGTTTATGTGGCGTATATTGGTGGTAATTCTTTGAGACCTATATGCAATGAAATTTCATGTTAATGTATGCCAATCAGTGTACATTCAAAGTGACAATCAAGTTATTCTAAAGTCTTTTTAAAAAGTCTAAATATATATGCTTCGCCCAATTTTTCTGCATTAGACACAGGACGAAAGAAAAACACACAATTTGGGCTGCCCTTACAAGTTATTCCCATGTTTCAGTTTACTTCAGTTGGAATTATTGATTCTTCTGAAATGCTCAACAACCAAAAACAGCCTACGTAGATCTGAACAGAGGCAAGCTTATTTATGTGAAAATTGAAATGTAGGCTGCCAGCTAATAAAGACTTTGCAAACCTGTAAATTAAAGAACAGTCACAATTTCTTTGCCTTACATGAAACTTAGTGATTCAGCTTCATGAAGCTTCATCAAGAGCTTCATGAAGATCATCCCAGGTTATTGTGCACAAAATAACATTCATATTCCAAATACTCTAAAAACTACCCACATTTTTGGCCCTCTTAATTAATTACACTGATCAGACAAATAATATGCACTGGAAATCTGGAAGAGAGACTATATTAGCAGAGGTCTCCTTCAGGAGTTTGCACAAAAGGACAGCCAATAAATATGTTAATCTTTCAGCTTTTGCATTAAGTGGGACGATTCACTCTGAATTACTGCTTTCAGGACATACCTTTTCAGTACACATATGGGAGAAACATAACACAGGACTTTTTCATACAACATTGTGTTGTGTTTTCTCTTTGGCCTACATCAGGAGTGTCAAACTGGCGGCCCGTGGGCCGGATACGTCATGCGCAGTCCACACCCACCCCAGCTCCACGAGTGGGAAAAATATCACGAAGCATCACATGATGGCAACATGATGCATCGAGTTTGACACCCATGGCCTACATGAACTCTCCATAGCTCAAGTTCCACGCACTGAATTGTTCTTACCTTTTGTCAGAGTATGTATTCCAAGTTTCACTTGGGAAAAGTTCCCACTTCCAATTTTACCTCTGATGCTGTAAAACCCAACCCTCTTGCCCAGAGTTAATTCTTTTACTATTTTTTCACTCTGGGACATATCTAGAATAAGTTTCTCAAATGGGGTCAGCTGGTGTTGATTGCCTGGATCATCTTCTGTGTTCAAAACTTCGTTAGTATGGTTCCCTCCATTATCTTCATGATTCCACCTAGCATTACTATGGCTCCCTGGATCTCCATTGCAGTGAACCATAGTCATGGTCTAGGGAAATACACATGTCCATGGGATATAATAAATTGATTCCAAGGAAATCTTAAAAGAGAACCTGCAGCTGCAGAAGCAGCCATGAGTTCAAGATCAGTTCAGTATTGAGTTTATATGAAATTTCTGTGGTAGCAAGATATGGCCAGTTTCTTCTAATTAAAGTCGATAGTTAAAGTAGATTCATTTCCTCCAATGTTCATTACCCATTTTAACTGCCAAAGAAGATAGTAGTGCTTGTGACATGCAGGTTTAGTGAAAGATTTGCAATCAAAGCTACAAACTCACTATCTCCCAAGCAGGGAATGGTGGAGCGCCCAATTTAATACTTCCGAGGACTCAGGTTTCAAGATTCCAACCATTCACACAAATCCAGGGCTGATGATTCTGTATACATTCTAATCCCTTAGAATAGCTGATCACATCAAAGAGGGGTGATGAGTGGAAGGTCTTCTCCTGGTTCAGATCTCAGCCCAAGAACTGAACGCTGCAATGGTCAGCAATGTTTCTGCTCCAACCTGGAAATGCTTAGGCACTCTTGCAAAGTTCTGCTGTCAAAATGTCACTTGTGTTCCTTTCATTGTAGCTGCAGGGAAAAGGGATGACACCAGAGGATGCTAGGAAGACTTTAAGCACACAAGAGGCTGAGGGAAAGAGAAAACAAAATGTATTTTACCAATGAAGTCACATGAAAGGTCAGTGAAATATCAAAGAAAGGGCTGTCATTTCAACCATCTTCGGTTTAGAAGATAGCTTGCTTTCATATTCCCACTTCTCCAAATATTGTGGGTTGCATGCCTTCCTAAAAGGAAAGAGATGCTATTCATTCATTCATTCATTCATTCATTCATTTTATTTTATTTTTATTTTTTATCCATTTACATAGACACCCATCTCAAACTATCTCAGGGAAGCAAACAATCATAAATAAATGTAATCCTAATATGTATGGTCCATTTGTCCTGCAGGCCTGTGTGTGTATGTGTGGCACATACCTTCAAGTCAGTGTTGTGGCCTACCAGCGGCCAGCAGAGCTGGCAGCAGATTTGGACAGTGAAGAGAGCCACTGGGGAAGAACATGGGCCAGTCCTGGAGTCTGGGGAAGGCTCTGATGAGGGCTCTGCGTCTGACGCAGAGAGGGGGCCAGGGCCAGATGCCAGTTATCAGCTGCCTTTGGAGTCAGACATCAGTGAGGCAGACAAACAGATGGAGCCTGTTCCCAGTGTACGCATGCACAGAGTTGCCAGACGAAGGGAACAGCTAAAGAACAAGGGTCGACTTGGGAGTAAGGCCACAGGAGGAGGATGAATAGCCTCTCCCAGAGGGAATAAAAGAGGAGAGAAAGGGGAGTGGAGTTTGCAGGAGACAATTAGTTCACCTAATTGGTTTGTGACTCTCGGAGACTCTTTGCCAAATTTTGAAGATATCGGTCTGGCAGCTCTCCAAGCCAGATAAGGTCTGACTGTAAATTCCCTCTTGAAAGATTTTGCTGAAGATGAATGAGAGGAATTCACTGTTTGTTTAATAAAAGGGGTTTTGTTGGGACCAGGATTCTGCTTCGTGCTTTTTGGGGAAGCCTAGGTCAGAACAGTCAGTTTTGACTCCTGGCAATTGCCTGGACTAGTCCCAGCAGTTTCGCTGGCCAGATTTCAGAAGCAGTTTGCAATTTCCTCCTTTCTGGGGATGACAGAAAGTGACCTGCCTAAGGTGACCCAGCTGGCTTTGTGCCTAGGGCAGGGCTAGAAGTTACAGTCTCCTGGTTCCTAGCCAGTGCCTTAACTACTAGAGATGCACTGGGCTCTCATGCAGGCCTGTAGGACATCTCTTCTCACTCTTCTAATTACTGTTTGTCCAAGTGCTTTTTACCAACACTGTGCAAACAGTGTTGATAAGAAGAGAAATGGTGCACTCTGACCCGTTGCAGGCTGGCTCTGGTTCAATGCTCTCTCCCTTTCTGTTTAACATTCACATGAAGCCACTGGCTGCAGTCACTTGCTGCTTAGCTTGGGTATCATCAAAAACTGATGATACCCAAGCTGTATGTTTCAACCCCAATCTAGCCAAATGATGCTATCTCCATCCTATTCCTATGTCTGAAAGTTGTGTGAGTTGGATGAGGAGGAACAGATTCAGGTTCAGTCTGATCAAGTGACTATGGATATTAGGGATCCCTAGAGCTGGAGATTTCCCACTTTTAGGTTTGGATGGGGCTAGAACTTAAATCATTTGAGACTGGTGTGCAATCTTGGAATTGCCTCGGACTCACAGCTCTTGATTAAACAGCAGCTAGGAGCTGTAACCAAAAGGGACTTTGTAGACCTCTACAGTGTACCAATTGTATCTGTTCCTGGATCATGAGGCCTTGATAGCCATTATGCCTTCATCACCTCATAGCTGGATCACTGCAAAACGTTGAGGGTACCATTGAAGATGTTCATAAACTACAGCTGGTCCAGAATGAGCTGTCCATACAGCAATAGGCATTCTTCAGTATGGCCATGTGATACCTCTGGTCCATGAGCTGCCCTGGTTGCCCGTGAAATTCTAGATACAACATAAATCAGGTTATGTTGATGGCTACTCATGGTTTATCATGTGTATTTATTGTTATGTTGTTGCTATGTTGTGTTTTTAACTATTGTTGGCCACCAAAGTCATAACAATGAGATGGGCAGCTGTATAAATTGAATTAATAAATAAAAACAAAGTTCTGGCTCTCACCTACAAAACCTTTCGTGGCATAGCACCAGGCTCTTGGAAGGACTAACTTCCATCGTCTTTGCCCCTCTAGGAAGATCGGGCAGAATTGGTGACTTTAGTTCCCCAAAGACCACTTACTGGGTCTCAGGAAGTGCACCTTGACTGTGGAGACACACCTGTCCCGTGAAGTAGCATCCTCTCAAGATCTGACTGGCTTCCATTTGTAATGGTTCCATAACTCTTTAAAAAACTGGTTGTCCCCCCCCCAAGCTCTTGGGTGTGCTTTATTTCTGTAGTATATGGAATTGTCTTGTATGGCCACAGATGGTATTTTTTTCAGATGATGATGATTATTTTAATTATAAGCTGTTCAGAGTAATTCTGGAGTCAAGTAGCATTTAAATCTAATAAACCAAATAACAGATAAAGAATGAGTCATGTTCTTCTGAATAGGTTGCTCTTGACTTACAACCACAACTGGAACTTCTGTTGCTAAATTGTTAACTTCTCTTGGTGATCATTAAGTGAATCACACCCAATTTTATGATATTTCTGCCGCAGCCATTTATCAAATCACACAGTCATTAAGCTAATCCAGTTTCCCCAATTAATTTTACTTGTCACATGCTGTTTGGGAATGTTGAAAATGGCAATCACATGATCTGGACTGGAGGCTAAAACACACAATGAATGATTGCAGGAACTGGGCATGGCTAGTCTAAAAAAGAGAAGGACCAGGGGAGACATGATAGCAGTCTTCCAATATTTGAGGGGCTGCCACAGAGAGGAGGGGGTCAAGCTGTTCTCCAAAGCACCTGAAGGCCAGACAAGGAATAATGGATGGAAACTGATCAAGGAGAGATTCAACCTAGAAATAAGGAGAAATTTTCTGACAGTGAGAACAATCAATCAATGGAACAGAAGTTGCCTTCGGAAGTTGTGGGAGCTTCATCACTGGAAGCTTTCAAGAAGACACTGGAAAGCCACCTGTCAGAAATGGTGTAGGATCTCCTGCTTGGGCAGGGGGGTTGGACTAGATGAAGTACAAGATCCCCTCCAACTCTGTTAATCTGACCTGGGACATCGCAACAGTCAGAAATACATGCTGATTGCCAAGTGCCTAAATTTTTATTCACGTGACTGCAGGGATGCTGCAGCAGTCTGCAGTGGGAGAACCAGTTTTAGTCCTGTCATAACTTCAAAAGGTCACTCACTCAACAAATGGTCAAGATCCATGATCTTCTGTATTGTTCCTTTTATAGGAATGAGTGCTGATAAATATGAGAAATGAAGTGGAAGTTGAGATAAAATAAGTGAAATATTTCTTTATGAAAATAAGCATTGGTCATATATTGATATTTTGAAGATGGGATTGAGCACAAAAGGATGTTAACCGATCGATAGACTGTCTGTAATGGTTTGGAATGATGACGGTTTTATGTTTTATTTCTGTTTTAAAATAAAAAATTGTTTTTGCAAAAAAAAGAGGAATGAGTGCTCAGCTTTTGCCACTTGTCTTGTAAAATATTCCAAAAAGGGAGAGTGAATGTTATATATCACAACAAGATCTTCACAGGTATATTCAGGTTTTATATAAATACAGCATTTACCCCTTGTATCATCTGGTAGAGTTTTGGTAAAATAATACTTATCGCTGGGCCCCTGATAATTGTAAGACTTACCCTGTGGTAAGATGGGGCCCGCTTTTTAAATACAAAATATTTTAAACAATGATGTTTTTGTATGAATAGCGGTAAAGCTTTTGTTAATAAATAAAACCTATTATATATATTTAACAACAGATTTGTTTCAGAGACATCTGGAGCTAGGATCATCATCTGGCTTATAAAGTAATATACTTTCCCAACCTGTTTGTATCTAACTTTGCCTTCCATCATCCTTCACTAAAGCAGTTTCAACTAACACTGCATATTTGCTCCTGCCTTGTGGTCAAAACTGTATGAATTGAAGTTGGATTGAGACAGAGTACATTTTTATTATTTTTCCTTTTAGCTAGGTCAATCTTATAGTATTGTATTTATATTGTTATAAATTATATAGTTTTATTTTTTAATATTGTAAGCTGCCTAGAGTTGCCATGTGGTAAGATGGATGGTTAATAAATTTGACAAATAAATACATTTTATTTTTAATACTGATTTTTTAAAAATGTGTTAATGATTTTTTAAAAAATATATATTGTCTTATTTGGTTACTGTATGCTGCCCAGAGTCACTTCCGTTGAGATGGGTGGCCATATAAATAAATGTGATGAATAACCAAGCAAATAAATTCAATCACCAGTGCCTCTTTAAGAGGAAAGATATCAGACAGTTGGGATCAATGAAATGGTTTTGCTGCAGCTACCTACATTTTTCCCAGAGGATGACCGTGTGAAGCAGCCAATACTATTGCATCCTGGGTGAAGATGACAAGTCTAGCTTCCAATCACAATGCCCCATCCTGACACCATTTAGTTTGCCTGGTCAAATAGGAGTGCTGAATCTCTTCCATGGAGTGGATTCAGTTTCCAATCCCTACTTTAAATGAATGCATTGCAGTACATAAGCTCTTACGTCCTATACAGAATTACCAAAGTTTGAACTGTGGTGAATTATTTCATGTCAACTTAGTTGCATTGAATGAATTCAATGTTCATTATTACAGCATGAAAAACAAAAATAAATGTTTATAATTCTGTTATTTTCCTTTTCTTTTTTTTTTCAAATTGCATTAAGAAATTCCAAGAGTTTTAGCATAGTTTAATTTAATTATGCTAAATTGAGCTCTATTTCACTTTAATCTGCTGTGGATACCACTAGAAACATGTATATTTTGGAACAGATGCATTTTCCTGAATTCAAAACAAAGATAGTTGTTTCTAGTTTAGGAACACAAGCTATAGTGACTCATAATTCTCTCCTTGCATCCAAGGAGACCATTAACACCATATTGGTTCTCCTGTATCTTAAAATGCATTTTATTTTGTTAAAGCACCTCAAATTTCTGGAGAGGTTTTCTACCCATCGCTATATAAAGTGAGCCCACATCTCATCCAGTTTTCAACTGCACTGTAAAAATGCAGCTGAAGAAAAATAGCAATTTCAAGCAAATTCTTTGATGTAACTTGCACTGCAATTACCAACCTTCTACTTTTAATGATATTTCTTTGACAAGCTTTTAATCTCTGGGTGAAGTTGGCAAGGTTTTCAGCCGCCTTATGCAGTTATATCAGTTTCATTGCTTTTAACTCAAGGAGAAGTAATTTACAGCAGTAATTTGACTGTTAGCTGAATGATTTCTGTGCTCTTTTGAAGAAGCATGAATTTCAGAGCAGTCCCCTAGGGGAAAAATGAAGCGGCAATGTCTTCCCCATAAGAGCCTTGGTAGTACAGTGGTTTAAAGCACCCTATTATTAACACAGCTGCCTGCAATTACTGCAGGTTCGAATCTTACCAGGCTCAAGGTCGACTCAGCCTTCCATCCTTTCTAAGGTAGGTTAAATGAGGACCCAGTTTGTGGGGGCAATAAGCTGACTTTGTATAAAATATACAAAAGTATGAAGGCTATTGCTTAACGCATTGTAAGCCGCCCTGAGTCTCCGGAGAAGGGCGGCATATAAATCAAAATTTTTTTTTTTTTTAAAAAAAGATATCTTATAGGCATGACGGCCTTCAACTCCCATATTTCTTCGCCAGCAGAGAGGGCAGTAGATTATGGAACACTGCAGAGAAGTCTTGCAAACACGGTAATAATAATAATTTGGGGTATGTGCATACCTTCAAGTCAATTTCGACTCCTGGAGACTGCCTGGACTAGTCCTTGCAATTTTCTTGGTCAGATTTCAGAAGTAGTTGCCATTGCTTCCTTCCTGGGGATGACAGAGAGGAACTGGCCTCAAGTTCACTCAATTGGCTTCGCGCCTATGGCAGGACTAGAATTCACAAGTCCCCTGGTTGCCTGATGCTTTAACTATGTAATAGTAATAATATAAATTAACAAGTTGACCAGTTGAATCCTTTAGTGTAGGGGTGTCAAACTCGCGGCGTCATAGCGGTGTCACATGACATTTCGGGACATTTTTTCCCCTTCATTAAACCGGGCGTGGGCGTGGCCAGCATGTGACACATCCAGCCTATGGGCCGGGAGTTTGATAGCCCTGCTTTAGAGTTTTCAATGTTCTATTTTCTTTCCTGCTCCCTTCTAATGCATATATTTCACCTAGGAAGTTTTGCAAGTTTTAAACTCAATATAATGTTTAAGAATCAAATCCTGGGAAACAGGGTAAGATCTAACTCCAGTTGTAGAGTTCAATCAATATCTGATTTTAAGTTAGGCTTCAAAAGAGCTATTGCTTTGTTTTCAAGGCATACAAAAACATGAAAGAACGCAGGCTCTATTTATTTAAATAGAGTTATTAAGCATCATGCTCCTTTCTTAAAAGCTGCAGCAGCCTGACATTAAAAAAATCACACAGCTGCATCCTCCTCCTCATCTGATCCTCTCATGTTTGTATTTTTTCCTTTGGTCACACTAGCCAACCGTTCTCCCATCTCTTTGAAATACAAAATACACAGTCCCCCCAAATGGGGTTCTAATGAATAGGAAATATTTTAAATTAACCTTTTCCTTGGCCCACATTTTCACTTGTTCTTTGAAGTATCTTTGCCACTCCTCTACCAAAGGTGAAATGGAAGTGAGGGGATCTCTTATAATAGCCATTCTCACTCTTTTCAATATCCCCTTACTGTCCTTTATTATAAGTTACCTTTCTAATAGTATTTGCATATCTTAATATTTCCCCTTCTTTAATAAACATTCTACCAACCTGCAGAATTTACACATCAACTCAACTTTTGCCATTTGCATCTACATTTCT